TTTGACGTTTTATGCCATACTATACTATGACGTTTTTTGACATTTTTATGCCATACTATACTATGACGTTTTTTGACTTTTTTTTTATGCCATACTATACTATGATGTTTTTTGACATTTTATGCCATACTATACTTTGACATTTTTTGACATTTTATGCCATATGACCTTTTTTTTTGACGTTTTATGCCATACTATACTATGACGTTTTTTGACATTTTTATGCCATACTATACTATTACATTTTTTGACGTTTTATGCCGTACTATACTATGACATTTTTCTTTTACGTTTTATGCCATACTATACTTTGACGTTTTTTGACATTTTATGCCATATGACCTTTTTTTGACGTTTGATGCCATACTATACTATGATGTTTTTTGACATTTTATGCCATACTATACTATGACATTTTTTGACATTTTTATGCCTTATTGTAGTATGATGTTTTTATACATTTTAATGCCTTATTGTACTATGACGTTTTTTGACGTTTTATGCCGTACTATACTATGACGTTTTGTTACGTTTTATGCCATACTATACTATGGCGTTTTTTGACATTTTATGCCTTATTGTACTATAACGTTTTTTGACATTTTTATGCCATACTATAGTGACGTTTATTGACGTTTTATGCCATACTATACTATGACATTTTTTTTTTACGTTTTATGCCATACTATACTATGACGTTTTTTGACATTTTATGCCATACTATACTATGACGTTTCTTGACATTTTTATGCCTTATTGTTGTATGACGTTTTTTGACATTTTTATGCCATACTATGATGTTTTTTGACGTTTGATGCCATACTATACTATGATGTTATTTGACATTTTATGCCGTACTATACTATGACGTTTTTTGAATTTTTTATGCCTTATTGTACTATGACGTTTTTTGACGTTTTATGCCATACTATACTATGACGTTTATTGACATTTTATGCAATACTATACTATGACATTTTTTGACATTTATTGCCATACTATACTATGACGTTTTTTGACATTTTATGCCATACTATACTCTGATGTTTTTTTGACATTTTATGCTATACTATACTATGACATTTTTTGACATTTATTGCCATACTATACTATGACTTTTTTTTTTACGTTTTATGCCATCCTATACTATGACGTTTTTTGACATTTTATGCCATACTATACTATGACGTTTTTTTGACATTTTTATGCCTTATTGTAGTATGACGTTCTTTGACATTTTTATGCCATACTATGATGTTTTTTGACATTTTTATGCCATACTATGATGTTTTTTGACATTTTATGCCTTATTGTACTATGACGTTTTTTGAAGTTTTATGCCATACAATACTATGACGTTTCGTGACGTTTTTATGCTTCACTATACTATGACTTTTTTGACATTTTTATGACTTAATATACTGTGACATTTTTTGACATTTTATGCCATACTATACTATGACGTTTTTTTGACATTTTTATGCCATACTATGATGTTTTTTGACATTTTTATGCCATACTATGATGTTTTTTGACATTTTTATGCCATACTATGATGTTTTTTGACATTTTTATGCCATACTATGATGTTTTTTGACATTTTTATGCCATACTATGATGTTTTTTGACATTTTTATGCCATACTATGATGTTTTTTGACATTTTTATGCCTTATTGTAGTATGACGTTTTTTTGACATTTTTATGCCATACTATAGTATTACGTTTTTTTACGTTTTATGTCAGACTATGCTATAACGTTTTTTTAAAGTTTTATGCCATACTATACCATGACGTTTATTGACGTTTTATGCCATACTATACTATGACGTTTTTTGACATTTTATGCCATACTATACTATGACGTTTCTTGACATTTTTATGCCTTATTGTAGTATGACGTTTTTTGACATTTTTATGCCATACTATGATGTTTTTTGACGTTTGATGCCATACTATACTATGATGTTTTTTGATATTTTATGCCATACTATACTATGACATTTTTTGACATTTTTATGCCTTATTGTACTATGACATTTTTTGACGTTTTATGCCATACTATAGTATGACGTTTTTTGACGTTTTATGCCATACTATACTCTGATGTTTTTTTGACATTTTATGCTATACTATACTATGACGTTTTTTGACATTTTTTGCCATACTATACTATGATGTTTTTGACATTTTTATGCCATACTATACTATGAAGTTTTTTATTTACGTTTTATGCCATACTATAGTGTTACGTTAAGAATATAGCCTATATTCATAGGCATAAAAAAGTCTTACTACACAACATCTTACATACATGGTTGCTGTGGTTACAATCATTACCTCCCAGTCAGAAGGTTATGTGTTCAAATCCCAATCACCCCAGACTATGTTAGGATGCTTTTCTCCCGTACTTTAATGTTTTTGACATTTTCATGGCCTACTATACTATGATGTTCAAGACATTTTATGACTTACTATACTTTGACGTTTCTATGACATTTTATGCCCTATTGTACTACGACTTTTTTATGCCTTACTATATTTTGACATTTTTTGATGTTTTTATCCCTTATTATACTATGACATTTTTATGACGATTTTATACCTTACTTTACTATGATGTTTTTTGACGTATTCATCCCCTGTTATATCATTACGTTTTTTGACTTTTTTATGCCTCACTATACTATGATGTTTTCATTACATTTTATGCCTTTTCATATATTCAATATATTACATTTGCATATGGGCATTCCTGAATGTAAATTCAGATCTTATATGTTAATAAACCATTTGGTTGACAGCATTAAAAAGAAAATGATTTTGATTTGGAGGGGTGGCTGGTTTGTTGCATCCCTACTAATATTGAGACCAAACCTACACTCTTGATTTTCCACCACTCTTAAGTTATTATGCAATTTGAGTATGTATCTCCTCAAATAACTCATGTTCTGTTTTCCAATGCATCTTACCTTGTCTCCTGTTTATAAAATGCAAACAAGTCCTTAAAAACTTACAAGTATATATGAGAATAAAAAAAATATATATATATATAAAATTAATAAAAAATAAAAAAATTTTTCATAACAATTGAAATAATTGGAGTACTCTCACTGATGGGGTTCCCCTTGGTTAAAAAGCCAGCTTCAGCTGCTGCTTCACACAGAGACTGTTAAGAGATGTTTGCCCATTTATGTACATCTTCTTATTATGTGCTGCTTGAACTGCTGATGGGATCACACCATGTGCCTCCTTTCAAACGGCTCAAAATGATCCACAGCAGTTTTACTTTTTGTTTGCTGTGACAGCTCACTCTTATACAACTGTTCTCTCTTATATGAAAACTTCATTTAGAATAACCCTCATTATTTATATGTATAAATGTCATTAATACATTTTTGGCCACTAGAAGAGGGTAAAAGATTTTCTTATAATTAAGTAGTAATAGTAGTACAGTATCAGATCACTCAATGTGTGAGCTGTAAATCCAAAATATAAAATTTAAATAATAAAATAATACTTTAATGGGGTCTTTCAAATTACAGTCATTTAATTCAATATCAGTCTAAAAATTAATTCGATATATTGATTAATTCAGCTTCAAGTTAACCATTCCTTTTCATTTACAGTAGTAGGCCTACATACTAAACTGTAGCATCTATTTATCTAAAGTTTATATTGAAAAATAAATAGACAAACTGCGCTGTAACACCTTTGTTTTTTGAGAAAATATAAACTGAAATCTGAAATCTAAAAGAAATATATTAAAATATTAAGCAAGTCCAGTGTTGTAGCTACTGTACAGCACCGAGGACACTGAGGACATGACTGAAATTACTGAGTCACCCCCATCAACGAAATATCTTTTAATATGACAGTTTAGGCAAGAATAATAAATGAAACGTATTTACAGGACTGAACATTTCACTACAAGAAAGGTTTTGAATATGCAGAATATATTAAGGCAAATTCATGGATGAAATAATGGGGAAAACAAACATTTAGCCTACAGGCTTTTTTTAATGGCTACTTAAACAATTCATCAGTGGGTGGGGCTTCACTGGGTGAGTTTGGACAAGCATTTTTAAAATCCTTATTACCACACTAGTGCAGACATAATTTATGGCCCAAAATCACAAATCAGTAAAGATCCTTGATGTAGATTAAAAAAAAACTCCCCTAAAAGTTTATGAAGGGGAGCTTTAACCTCACAATAGACACAACACCAACTGAGGTTCTTCTGATTTTTTTTTTTTTTTTTTACAGATATGGTATTCTTGGCTTGGTATTAAGGATAAACTGCAGATATCAGTGTAACAATTGTTCAATAAACCCCTGTCTGAGTATTACACTAAAGTCATAGGAAAACTACCATTATAAACGAATAGACCCATACAGTTGAGTTTTATTACTCGCTGTATTAAGCTGTGGGAATTCGGGAATTGGAGTAATTTCTTTATGGCATGTTACACGTTTGGCTACCTGTTCCATCTGTTCTTGAATGTGTCAGTCTGACAGCACTTTATGAACGCATCTTCGCTTAATAACAAGCATGTCAGTCAAACTGCAGAGTACCACCTGCCCCCGCATCCTCTCCGCCTGCCTCTGCATTGGCAGCCTCACCTCCAGCGCATCACTGAGCGTGAGACTATTTTTTAGAAAGTGCGCATGAGATTACGCCCCTATCATGGCATCATGGTGCGATCCACAACACAACAAGAGGGCAGCCCGCAAAACCCAAAGTCAGCACACAGATAGTTTGGTGTACGGAGAGTCCGGGAGCTGTGTTTGTGTACAAAAATAATTGCGCTGGTGAAGTGCACAGCTCATGTAAAACATCCTGCCAGGTAAACATCAGTGTAAGCGTGTGTGAGGATGCGAGAGTGCTTTTTTCTGTCCGCTGGAAACGAGACTGTCAGACGAGAAACTGAACTTGTGTCGGCCCTGTCAGTCAGGTGTGCAGCTGCGTGTGTCTGTCCAAAGAGTTTTTTTTTCTGTTACCTTGACCCGTGCGTCTCCGAGTGTCGATCCTCCCCATCGGATGTCGCTCTTAGGACCAGCCAAAATTTTGGAGATTCCAAGTCTCGCAGTTAATCGTGAGATTTTATGTTCGTTCTCATGCAATACTTCTGACGTTTCTCAAAGCGGTAGTATGACGATTATCTTTCTAAAGTTGAAAAGAATGGCATTGTGGGTAACATCACTGTTGCCCTGTGAGGTCACAAGTACCCAAAGCCTTTATCTAAATAAAAACAACAACACGATGTGAAAATTCTTCCTTATTGGTAAAAAATGAGCGATGCCCAGTGTGCACTTAAATAATCAAAAATACAAGCTTTCATCCAGCAGAATGGTTCCCATCAGTCTAATATAATTATACTGTATATACTGTATATACATTATGTTATTGTTAATATATCATATATGGTGTAGTAGATTAAAGTATTTCAAGTAAATACTTCGAAATTGCACGTGAGTACAGAATCTGAGTAATGTTCTCGGTTACTGAATTTACTCAAATGCACTTTTATGTGACAGCTTTGGTTACTTGTTACTTTCCAGATTAAGATTTTACACACAAATCTCCTTCAAAAACACAACTTGTTAGATTAAACCACACAGCAATATGTACATATAGAGAGGAGTTTGTTTAGCCTCAGCCAGTTACATGTAATGAACTGTGCTCTACTGTTATGCATTACAACAGACAAAACTATAATGTCTTATAGTTATAATTAATTCACTCTGAATTGTTACCTCAATTCATCAGTAACAGCATATGTATTCTCACGATGCAATTCCACAGAAAGTTGCTGGTATATAAATATATACCAGTCTGAAAGAGACCATTATGTATAAGTATTTTTACTTTTAATTTAAGTTAAATTTTGAATGCAGGATTTTACTTTTAATGGTTTATTATTATGGTGTTGTCTCACTACTTTTATTCCAGGGTCTGAATACTTCTTCTCCAATGGCTGTGGTTGTGCAGCTATACACCTAATATGCAACACCGTTACTTTACATTAAATGTCACCTATAACTGCTGTTAAGGACACAAGCAGGGGAAAAGTAATATGGCGGCTGGAATCAACAGTGAGCCTCTCAGTTAGGAGAGCCGATAACAGCATGCCACTGACAGCCACCAGAGTGATGTGTGCAGACGTAATTAGGTTACCAGCAACATGTGGTAGCTGGTGCTAGACTAACTGTGCCTTTTGGGATCATGCCAGCTTCTCCCAGCACATTGCTTTGGGGAAAGCTGTCATTGAGATGTGAGATGTAAAAAGGGGTGATTTTATATCATTTTATATCATCTGGCAAAAATGTGAATTACGTATTTCTGTTTCCAAATGTGATATCTAAATGGTTTGGTCCTTGTTTTTGGGAAACAAAGCACTAATGGTTGTGGAGTACTTCTGATCTGATCTGTTAATCTGATTGTTATTGATAACAGGTCTTTTGGGTTGATATGACAGGAAGTCTTGGTGTAAAAATTTTTTTTTTTTTAAATATGACAGCAGATGAGTCAAATAACATTTAACCATCACTTAATAAGGAAAATATTTAACATGTATGTTATTAGTAAACATAATACTGTACAATCAGGCATTTGAAGCATTTTAATTACCATTTTTAATAAAAGATTGCAAAAGACTCTATGAAGAGTTACAATCATTTTCTTCATTGTCTTGGTGCATGTACAGTTTTCGAATAGGTTTTACACTCCTTAAACAGAGGACAACACTGTAGTGAAATAATGCAAAATGAATACATATGAACTGTACATCTATGCCCATATAAGTCGCATACACTCACACATTCTGATAACACTCTTCACAAGCACGCCTGGACATCAGTGGTTACTCTACAGCTCACTCATTGTGTACCGTCCTGCTATCACTATCTCATAAGATATTATGAACATACACTGAAGAGTATCACAGCCAGTTTACAGTGAAATAATATGTACATGTTTACATTTAAAAAAAAATCTTGGCTTAAGACAAAAAGGTGAGAATCGTCATGATGCAGAGATGTGAGACATTAGATCTTCAGGAAGCGTTCCCCTCAGTTCTTTTTGTGGAGAAACTTCATTTTATTCCCTAAAACAGTTAAAAGAAATCCATTAAATCATGTAAAATGCATAGGATAAATTTAATCCAGGTTATTAAAGAGTATATGGGGATTAAGTAAGTATTAAGTCTGATTTAATTCTGATTCTGAATCTGAATATCTGCTTAAGTGTGTGGCTTTCTGATAAAATTTGAAATATCCCCTACAGAAATGTTTACAGACGAAAAATACCCAGCTTTGAACAATAATTTGTGTTGAACATGTTTTTTCTGCAAAAAAGTTTGGTAACCTATGTTAAATTCTTAATATCACATCTGCTCCTTAACCATCTATATATGCAAATTATGTTGGAGGATTCAAGTTTCCACACAATCCTGTCCATATGTAGCAATGACCTGAGATTTCAGGTGAGCACAAAAAGGCTTTCCCTCTCCAGCAGATGAATTTGAAAACAGCCTTCAAGTGTCAAAGTTGAAGTGAAGTAAAAATATGAAAAACACATGTTTGACCATTATTAATATGGACAGACTTATTAGGACCTTGATTACTTCTATCATTTATGAGTTAAAATCTGGACTGAGGAGATGATCAGCAGCAATTGAAACTTTGTAGAAGTTGTTGTGCAGCTCCCTCTGGCAAGACAACTGTAACTTGTAAGTGTGACATGATCTAATCTTGTTGTGTTAGAATGTTCAACAAAGCTACAGAAGAAATATTTGAATTTTTTCTTAAAGGGATGCATGCAACACAATCTAAAAACTTGTTAAAACTTTGAAACTCCTGGAATCTGAAGACAGCATTGTATGTCTGCTGGAGAACTCACCAAGGCCTTTAAGGAACTTGTTGACTCCACTCTGCTCTGTGTCTGGTAGCTCCTCAAGATACTGATCCACCCTCTGCTCAAACAGACCTGGAGGAACAGTGAAGTGGTGAGAAAATCTGCTAATGGAAACTTTCAGCCACAAGAGGTCAGTATCAGTACAGTATCTTCTGCTGAACAAAGAGTAGTAAAAGTACAGAGGTAGAAATCAATGTAGAGTAGTGCACAAACGTTTCATCAAAACTTTTAAGGAAAAAAAAGGACATTCATAGAAACAACTGACACTCTAGAAATGACAGTCTACCTTTAGCCCGGGTCTTCCTCAACTCTCGATCCTGAATGAACCCTGCAAACATCTGAGACTCCATGAAGACACCAAGGAAACGACGGATGCTTTTAGACGCCACTGACTTGCGGAAGGCCTCTCTTTGGAAAATGCGTTCTCCGCGCTCATTCTGAGTGATAAACAGGGAGTAATGGCCGATGGTCTCCAGAAAGAAGCGGATGAAGGCCTCTGACACCAGGCTGTTCAAGGAGTTATACTCTGTAGACACAAAGGAGAAGGGATTAATCACAGTTCAGTTATTCACATTACTTACATCAGTATCTCAAATAAAGTGATAAAACTGACACGTCACACTGTGTGGCATGTTCCATAGAAATAGCCAGATTGTCAGGGTCATATTGAATACATGGTTTGGCTAAACCCTCACTGAGACATAAATTTACCCACAGCTATTGTTAACTGTGTGGAGATTCAAGACCCTATCCCATAACTCTCAGTCATATCAACTTGAATAAAATTAACCACATAATATGACATAATAATAATGTGGTTGCCACTTTATTACTTCTATTGCTCTTACATTGATGCTGTCAAAGTATGGCAAAAGTATAGAACTAGACTAGAGCTGTTGGAAAATCTGAGCAAGCTTACAGAGGCACAGAGCTTCATGGCTAGAGACAAGAGTTGTACCGTGAATGTTACAACACTGAAGTTTCTGATTAAAAACTCTGAGTAAGAGTCAGAGTCTGAGCTGAAGCTGAAGGGACTCTGTGAAAAAGAAATCTGCCCTGAACAAAACATCAACACACTCAGTGAAAGGTAAAAAACCTCAAGACCGGCACAACCAGAACTGTAACTGTCAGGCCAAGGACATTTCTCACTCCCTTGATGAATTACAGTCTTTGACCCGGCATATTACTTGTTTTGTACAGTAAACATTAGGCATCATGAGCAGCTCGTAGGTCTGGCACACTATCTAAAGACAAAAAGATACTTCAAGAAGTGTAATTGTTGTGTACAGCAGTAAAGTAAAGCTCAATCTTTCCTCTCATTTAACAGACTAGGTTGCAGTGTGTCTTGCTTTGGTTGGCACATTAGTGAGAACAAGTTGTGACTGACATGCGGCAGATGTAACGCAACCACAGGCAGTGTTAACTGTTGGTGGAAAGCACAGACACAAGGTCTGTCACTTATTAATGCAATGAAATGAAACAAGTAAGGTTTTATTTATAATTATCTGTTGAGTGTCCATATTCTTGAGCTGTGAAGCACTTTGTAACTTTACAACACACTAAACCTATTATTGATTCCCTTGGGGTAAACCTCCATAAACACCCAGTTTCCAAACCAGGAGTTGAACCCAGACCACCTGGGTGAAAACCAGGAATCCTAACCACTAGACCTTACGGGAGGTATATACATATATGCAGATACTATCCTATAGATGCAACTTTGCAAAACAGAAAAGAAAAAAAAAACACTTTGACATAGTGTGTCTGACTGTTATATTCTTTTTGTCTTCATATAATAATATAACTGGTGGTTGTTTCAGTGTTGTTTTACCTTGACATTACTTGAATAATAAACAGCCTGTGGAACACATGAAAAATTAAGCATAATTTGCCACCAGTCAGCTCAACTCCTACCTTTCATCATCAGAAACCCTGTTATCACCTCTGAGGCGAGCCTTTGTGACTCACTCACATGGGAAGTCTGTACAGAAGACGTGATTTCCCAGTGAGTTTCACAGAGACACGGACTGAACATGTTCTGCTACAGACGTTGCTCTCATCAGAAAGAAAAACATATGTCTTGGTCGGGAGAGATGACTTGTCACTTATTCACCTTCGTCTGACTCGCTGTCAGAGTCC